CAGGTGAGTTTACTGCCCAGCACCTCCCACTCTTCTGCCCCCCCCCATAGCCCATCTGAACTCCACCGCCCGGCACCTCTTCCCTCTAGCCCAGTACAGATTCCTGGAATCTCCCCCCTCCTCCAACCCAGCTGAAGTCCCTGCCCAGCCCCTACCTCCTGGAGGGGGAGGGGAAACAGCCACTTCAGGCTGCAGCAGCTGTTTCTGGGACATTTTTAGTGTTTATAGGGACACTGGGACAAGAGATTAAAATCTGGGACTGTCCCGGATTTTACAGGGCATATGGTCACCTTATTCAGATTCCTGGAATCTCCCCCCTCCTCCAACCCAGCTGAAGTCCCTGCCCAGCCCCTACCTCCTGGAGGGGGAGGGGAAACAGCCACTTCAGGCTGCAGCAGCTGTTTCTGGGACATTTTTAGTGTTTATAGGGACACTGGGACAAGAGATTAAAATCTGGGACTGTCCCGGATTTTACAGGGCATATGGTCACCTTATTTATAGATGAGCCTTCTTGGAGCTGAACTGCTTCAGTGTCTGTTGCTCTTCAGGGGGGCAGTTACCTCAACTCTGTGCCTTGCCTAGAGGATACCAGAGGATCTGACCCAGAAGGACAGAATGATCAGGCATTCCAGAGAGGAGGAAAGTGGGTGTCAATGGCATGGTCAGCGCGCAGGGGAACAATCCCAAGGGGATTTCTGTGATCACACCCCATCACAGGGTTACTGGATTTTCCTTTTTAATTCCTTGACTGGATGTTTCTTTTAAAGCTGTGGGATAATTGCATGATCTACATAGAAACATGGAAATTGTTGCATTAGATCAGCTCAGTCAGCCATTTAGCCTCCTGTTGTGTCTTCAACAATGATCAGTACCAAATGCTTCCGGGAAAGGCTCAGGAAACAGATAACTAATAAGTAGGAAATAACCTACATCTGGGGAACTTTTTTCCTGACCCCAGGCAGTTTGTGACTGGATTATTCCTTGAAGTATGAGGGGTTTAAAGATTTTAAAATATCTTATATTCTATAACTATGGATGTTCTTGTTTTCTGGTTAAATATCTAGTGGAAAATCCTGTCTCCGGTGAAGTCAATGAAAGTTTTGCCATTGACTTCAGCAGTGTCAGGATTTTACATCTAATCATTTTTTTTAAATCCTGTTAAATTGTTAGCCTTTATCTTTTTGTGGGAGTGAGTACTTGCATGTATAAAAATATTTTCTTTTATCAGTTTTAAATTTGCTAACTTTAATTTCACTAACTGTCTGTTCTTGCATTATGTGAGAGAGTAAATAGGAATCTCTGATTCATCTTTTCTGCATCATCTATTTGTCTTGAGCATGTGACCTCATTTCTTTGTATCTTATGAGAAATGCCATAAAATCAAAGTGTGAAGATGGCATTGGCCAGATATGTATTACAGGCAGTCCCCGGGTTACGTACAAGATAGGGACTGTAGGTTTGTTCTTAAGTTGAATTTGTATGTAAGTCGGAACTGGTACATATTGTAGGGGAAACTCTAGCCAAACATTTCTCCAGAGCTCAGTTTTATTCTCCCACACCTCACTTCCCTCAGGGTATTATTCTCAAACTGAGGTGTCTGCTGAGAAAAGCTGCTCCGCATCTCCCTGGTCTGCTGGGGG